AATAATTTAACTTTAATTAAATTCGTAATTTCCTTGCAGCTTTCTGCGATATTTTTAAGATTTTTTCATCTTTATTTTTTAATTAAATTAAATTTAATTTAATTTCCTCATTTTTTGTATGTCAAAATTATACATATAAATGTGACTCGAGAGAGTCGATAATTAACAATTTACTAAATGAAAACGCGATTTCCTCACAGCTTTTTCTAGGATTTTTTCGTTTTCTTTATTTTTTAAAATTTAAATACAAAAAACATTTTTCTTTCAAATGTCAAATTTTTCTCTTTCTTTCAAAATTGTATAAATAACTGGGATTCGAGAGAGTCGAATTTATAATTTCCTGTCTCAAATTCCGAAAACGCGACAATCTATAATTTTCCTTTTCTCTCCTTGAAAATAATAAACTATTAACAATAAAACCGAATCTCTTTGTTCATTTGCTCGGTGTAATTAACATCGATAATGCGGGGCAATAAATAATTGCTTCTGAAGAACCGAGAAGATAAGTGTTTATCTTAAACTTGATAACAACGCAATGAAATAACTCCTGTTATTAACGCAATGAAATAACTCCTGTTATTAACATTTAGTGCAATGTCACTTTTGTCCACGATTATTCGGTCTCGATAAGCTTTATTGTTACATTTCAGATACGTGTGAAAAACAAGGGTGAAGCGAGTAACAGCGTTAAATTCGTAAAATGTATTCCGATTTATTAAATTTCACGTACGCCTAAATATGAGTTCTTTACACGTTATAATAATATATATCGTGTAAAGTTTGATATCGAAGAACTTATTATACATTTATTATAATCGATAGTACGTTGATTAAATTATCGTACAGTGTAATAGATAATAATGTAACATGGCTATAGCTAGGCACATACATGTAACAGTGAATCGCAAGTAAAAAAATTATGTTCACAGCCTATCTTATATAAAGCTGAATATAATAATATATAATATTAATATAATATATAATATAATAATATATATATAATATAACTGCTATGTTTCTCTCTCTCTCCCTCCCTCTCTCTCTCTCTCTCTCTCTCTCTCTCTCTCTTCAGCGTGTATTTCTCTTATTTACAACATTGAAACGATTATCTCTAACAAGTTGCTTTATATCTATCAGATATAAAGCTCTACCTACTTTTAATAATAAAGTCGCTTGTTTTTTTTTTTGCCTGCCCCTCTTCATCAGAATGTCATTATACAGATATATTAGTATTAGAGCTATATATGTAGGAGAATTGTACAATGGACAATACATTTACGGATTTAGCTGCAAAACAATATCCTTGTATCTTTCGAATTCCACGAAAGGTTCAAGAGGATAGAGAAAGATTAAAATATATATGTATATATATATATATATATATATATATATATATATATATATGTATATATATGCGACGGATTTTAATATATATATATATATATATATACTTAAAATTATGTTACAAAAATATTTACATATTCTCAATGTATACTCGGATGGCGAACATGAGCTGTACACTCTATCATTCTCTGTCTCACCCTCTCTCTCTCTCTCGGTATCCGATGTTTACGCCACCCGTAGCAATTTATAACTTATATTAGTACACACACGTTTCTTTTTTCTTTTATTATTACAAACTATCGGCTAAAGTACAAAGTAAACACCAAATGCCAAAAATATGTCTGATTTACATTTTGAAATCGCAGCCGAACGCAATATAAAGAGGGCTCTCTCTCCCCCTCCACTCGTCTAATTTTCATCACGCTCTCGACCCCAAGAGAACGTTACGTATATATATGCGCCCAGAAGAATTCCGTTGTAATACTTTTGCAGAGAATACATAAATACATATTATATCTTAATTTATGCCCCCGAACCCCCCCAACCCCCCGCTAACTTTCTAATCACAGATCTTTAATAACTTTGATATTTGCTTAAGAACCGATGATTGAAGTCGATTGTTTCTTCTTTTGTTATACACGTTTCGGAAAAATTCCACGCGTTTTATACGTTTTTTTTTTTCGTTATACAAGTTCAGGTGGAATCTCGATCGCAAATCACGTAAAACGGACCAGCGATCCATTCGGTCGAACGTCAGATTTTTTTCTTCTTCCTTTTACATATTTATATAAATTATATTTTTTAAATTATATTAGTAATTATAATTTTAAATTATAAAATTATGCTTTTAAATTATTAAATTTATATCTAAATAAATTTATTAATTTAAAATTATAATTTTAAATCGTTAAATTTATATTTTATATGAATTTATTAATAAATTTATTAATCGACCGTGTTTCGTAAGATTTCGAATGAAAATTCTTCCAAGCTTTCCAGCGGAACGTGGATTTCGTAGCCGCGGTTACGTGTTCCCGACCAAAGAGGACCGTGAAAATGAAAAAAATTTGGAGACGTTGAAAAAGAGTAAAATTAACGCGATTCGTTGAATAAATTAAGATATATATTTATAATGTTCTCTGCCAATTCTCTCTGTCGAGACGTTCGCTAAATATAAGTTGTTCTTCTCTTCGAATCGATCCTAATTAGTCGTTTTTGACGAGCGAGGTGTCTCGAGCACCTATAGCATAGCTATAATTTTTTTTTTACGAGAGTCTCTCTAAGATTGTACCGCCTCTAATGTTGTACTATAATTAATTTCGCGAGCGACGCGCGTTCTGTTGCTCCGCAGAAGTTGAAATACCTATGACAATTGTTACAGTGCATCGAAAAATCTGAAATATATAGCAAGGAGTATCTCTAACGACAAGTTAGAGATCGTTTTTCTATTCATCGTTGTTTTCCCTTTGAATATTCGCCATCGTTCGTCCTCTCTCAAGAGCCCGCGACAGAAAATACAATAAACAATACATGAATTAAAATCATACAAACGGAGAAAGATCGACTTACGAATTAAAGAAATGCAAAACTCGGCTTCTCTCCTCGCCTTTAACAAGTAATAACATAATAATGTACAGCTATTAATCATCACGCCTCGTCAAAATCCGAAACTCTTTTTTCACACATGATATACACATACATGCATACACACGTAGACATAGTATGTACGTGTGTGTATATGTATATAATATATAATACATAGTATGTACGTGTGTGTATGTGTATATGTATGTATGTATACCTATGTGTGTATGTAGATATATATACAGGGTGTCCCAGACCACCCGTCTCACCCGATTTTTTCGTAAACGCGACATTTTAAAGAAAAATGTTTCAGACAAAAGTTTTGTGACTTCGAGGGGGACATAAGATGGTGTCATTGGTTTGACCTTGGATAGTCGTTTGAAGATCACGTGAAGGTCATCTTTAATTTCTTAAATGGAAACCCCCATTTTTCAATGCATATTCTTATAGCTTACCTCGAGAGCTTTCCAAAACACTATAATTAAGTACTTTTTTCTTAAGTACCTTTTTGAGTTATAAGGCTTGAAATAATTTCTTAATTTTACATAAACCATAAAATATCTAGTAAACCATTCATTTTTCGATTATCTTACCTTCATATTTTTATGTACAAAATAATGAGAGGAATCAATTGGTGTAAAGAAAACACATAGTTGTTTCTAAGAAAAAATATGTAATTTGCAATTAACAATTCCATATTTTTTCTTAAAAACAACTGTATGTTTTCTTTACACCAATTGATTCCTCTCATTATTTTGTACATAAAAATATGAAGGTAAGATAATCGAAAAATGAATGGTTTACTAGATATTTTATGGTTTATGTAAAATTAAGAAATTATTTCAAGCCTTATAACTCAAAAACTACTTAATAAAAAGGTACTTAATTATAGTGTTTTGGAAAGCTCTCGAGATAAGCTACAAGAATATGCAATGAAAAATAGGGGGTTCCATTTAAGAAATTGAAGGTAATCTTTATGTGACCTTCAAACAACTATCCAAGGTCAAACCAATGACACCATCTTATGTCCCCCTCGAAGTCACAAATCTTTTGTCTGAAACATTTTTCTTTAAAATGTCGCGTTTACGAAAAAATCGGGTGAGACGGGTGGTCTGGGACACTCTGTATATATATATATATATATATATATATATAATAATTTTAATTACACATATAAAGTACAATATATCCAGCAAACAGCAAATAACGGTTATATAATTGTTAGTTGTAATTCAATGTATTATGTAACTGTTATATAACATGTAACTGTTATATCGTTGAGTGGGAAATTATTATTAAATTATATTAATTTATGATTAATTAATTATATTAAATTACAACTGACAATTATATAAATTATATAAATGTTATTTGTGTTTTCTGGATACGTCCCAGGTAGCAAGATGACGACTTCAGACGTCTTAATGACGTACAATGACGTCATTAAAACGTTATTAAGATATCATTTGACGTCACTCTGTTACCTGGGGTATAATTTTAATTACACTGGGTCGACATTGAAACTCTAGAAGACTATATATATAATAGTTTCAAGTTCGAGAGCAATCACTTCTCGCTGTTTATAATCAAGTCGAGTTGCAAATGTTTACGATATCCGGTTTTATTTTCTTCCAGCTCCGGCAAATTCGTCGTCCCTTCGCTCCAGGTCTCTTACCTCCGAGATCGATAGACGATTTCTCTCACTCTCTCTTTCTTTCTTTAATCGAGAATTAGCTCTTTGAATATGTGTGTGTCTCTCGAAATTTTTTATTTCCCAATAATATTCCTTACCACTGATTATTACATGGCCCACTGTAATACTTTCTTAAAATAAATATTATAATACATTGTTGATTTTATCTCTATTCAGCTGCTCGATTACTTCGATGGGTATATATTAATATTTTTGCTCTCCTCGTTGCTTCAGTCCCTCATAAAAATATATAAATATATATATATAAATATATGTATATATATATTTATATATTTATGTACATAAATACTTATATTCAAGCGTATAAAAATATTTATTCTAAAATAACATTCATATATATACTTTATAGCTTTGCTTATTTCAAGAAAATTCTCTATATTGAGCAATATGCGCGTATTACTTTGGTCCCAGTGGAACTATATTTACAGCACTGTTATTTTTGTACTCCATTTTCGATGAATCCATAGAGATAATAAATAGAAACTGTTTAATCTTCATTTGGTTATGATGAATCCGACTCCAATTTTCTAGATTCATGATATCGTTGTTTACGTTTTCTTCCATTCATTTTTATACATCAGTCAATCTTGATATCTCTTGTGTCCTGTCGTTATTAAACTTGAATCATTTTTCGTATTTGTTTCTTCATCAACATTGGCACGTTATTCTTCATCATTGTTTCCTTATATTTATTGCTCGAGGATACAGCTTTTCGAGATAAATATATCTAACAGTCGTAAACTTTTGAAATTGCGTAACATTAATATATATAAATGCAATATAGATATATATTGACTTGGTATATTATTGCACATATAATTTGCAAGCTCAAAAAGAAGACTCAAACTACTATTATTGGCAAAATTGTAAAGCTACTATTGTATTGCCACTAACTCCAAATATCTAATTATGGCACCTTTTAGACTTTTATAGTATAATATACTGCCTGTTGTATATATTACTGTTGTGCTTAGGCATTTGCAACAGCCGGTATTATTTTCGTATATATTTCTACTCCCTTCAAAAATATGTCTTTATTTAAATATTCATTGTGATCGTGAAGAAGTATTTTTGTCTTGTTCATTGGAGAAAAGCCGATAGCAGGAATTCCCACCTGAAAAATAAAAATATATTTAAAATTATTTTATTTTACAAAATAAAGATAAATTAATACGATGAAGCAAAAATTACAATACTATAATACTTAATTTATTATGATTGCTTATATTCTCAATTTGACATTTGGACTGCGCATGATTTATTATTCAAATAAATAATCATCTTTAGAAACAAAAGTGTATAAATTTAAAATAAAGATTTATAAAAAAGTTGAAAATAAAAATTTATAAAAATGAATGCAAAATTTTTATAACAATTCAACTATTAAAATCTTAAAATCTTAAAGCTACAGTTTTAAAGTCATAAAGACAATACATATTTGATCTTTTCTACTTAAAACATCAAATTTTAATATGAAAAGAGCAATTCAAGTTCACCTGACGAATATAACGGTTATCTGTAGCTCCTGGACAGATGGCAATTTTTAACTCAAAACCTATTTCGTCGCAAGTTTTTTTAAAAGCGATCCAGAAAGGATTAGAATCGTCAAGCTTAGTATTTTCGATTTTCGGATCTTTCGCGTCGAAGGAATAAGTTACATCTGGACCGGCTTCCTCGCACCAACGTTTTATGGTAGCCTCGAGTTCTTCGTGATCGACACTGGGCGTTATACGAATATCGAATGTAGCCTTGATCTCAGCGGGTATAACATTATTTTGCACGCCACCCTGCAAAGACATATTTAACAGATTAAATTTAGGAAATGTTGAATAGAAGACTGGATAGAAAAGAGAATATAGAATTCAATAAAACTGCAAATTGCCAGAGAATAAAATTCCAAGCTAATTGTGTAAAGTAAGGGAAAATGTAAAGCAAGAAAATACAATATGATACGCATATCATCATCATCGTTGAACGCAAATAATTGGATATATAATTAGGTGAACATATTAAAATACTCACTGTAGAATATGAATCCCAATAGAATAGACATGTAAAATAGTAAAATAAACAACTATCATGTAACAGCTTGAAAATTAAAGCTAATTCATTTATTTGAGAAAATAATCTATTTTCTTCATTCTTCGTGGAAATTCTGTTCTTTTCATATGTAATTATATTCTTTTACACACACGTGAATTTAGTAGAAAATTAAATGGACAAAAATGAAGAAAATGACTCAATGCATAACTTATGATTTCATTCTCGAAAATAACAAATCGATGCTCTTGCATCCGTTGGGTGGGAAAAATGCATGGACAGGCGGTAAATACCTACCGAAATCTTTGTAAGATTGACAGACGTCACTTCGCCAAGTTTGATATCAAGAGGAGTTTCCAGCTTCGCTTTCTCGGCTTCTCTGAACTCCATGAAACGGTTGATTACGACTCTCAATTTCTCCCCAGCCGTATTGTTCAGCATAATCGAGCCGTGACCGGTAGTGCCGGCGCAATTTACAGTCACTTGCCAGGTGTTTCTCTCTCCGTAGAATATGTTAAAATACTCCTCTGGACGGGGCGAACCCTCGTCCAGCGAAAAACCGATGTTCAGAGCTTTAAAATTCGCGGTGTGCACGAAATCCTTCATCCCGAAAACACTGCCAATCTCCTCATCCGGCACGAAAGAGATGTGAATGGTGCGTTGATAGTGTTGTCCATTCAGCTTGAGTCTGCGAATCGCTTCCAAGTATTGTATCCCGACGCATTTCATGTCCTGGCTACCGCGAGCGTAGATATTACCCTGCTCGTCCATGTGAGCGCTGAACGGTAGATAGGTCCATTTGTCCTGCATCAATCACGAGAGGTGAATCACGATATTCTAGTCTCCTTAACGTGAAATTTAAATGCCAATAAATGCCATTTACCTCGAAGACGGGCACAACGTCCATGTGGCTGTTCAAGAGGATAGCCGGCTTTGCCGGTTCTGTTCCTACCCATGTGAGAACCACGATCGGTTTATCGGGATGTATGTGATAGACCTTAACTGGCAAGTCGAGCGACTGCGCTTGTCTCTTTAAAAATGCCACGCATTCATCTGAAATGAAAGATACAGAATGTAGAATGTTTAGCCTCTAGAATCTTCAAGATTCAAACAACAAGAATATTCCAATAATTAATTAGATAATAATTTTAGTTAATAATTAGATGATGAATTAATATCTTATATAAGCAATTATTGGAACAATCTTCTTGTTTGAACTAATATAACTGACGAGTCTTATCTAGGATATTCTGAATAACATGTGGGCTCATAAACTTTAAGACTCTCTAATTTAAATCAATCTTTAATTTAAAAATCTTTGCATTGTAAACATGAGATCTAAAACGTTATCAGGTAGAAGCTGTTATCTTTAATTCTCTCTTATCATGTGAATATTTTTGAACATCTTGAAGTATTTAGTGGCAAAATAGCATCTAAAAAAAATGTTAATCTCAATGTCGGAAATTGAGTCCCATCAACAGCAACTTCATCACGCTTCATGTTTGTGTTTGTGTCTATTTTCCAAATATCTTCATGATGACTAGAAATCTCAATAAATTTTCTGATAAAGCAGCACAATTTTTCAGCACAATTTTGATCAATCATCCCTAAAGGGGTCTAATGAGACTTTTTCCAGGAACCTGTTAAAAAAAAGAAGTCCAGCAACTTTTTTCATTATTAAAGATTAAGGCCAGGTTGCACCAACATTAATTTGGACTTGAGTGAGATCGAAGTAGCCTGTCTACCTTTATCTTCCTTCCTACCTAAAAAGACACATATCTTTTAGACCTTGAGACTAGCCTAGTCTCTCTCTTTCCAGCTATCTCACCTTCAGGGGAGTTTAAAGCTACTCCTCGGGGAACTTCCCGAGGCTGTACTCACCGTAATTAATGTTGGGCTGTACCGACGGTATCCGCAGGTACTCGCGAAAGTTCTCCACAGCTGTTTCGTCCAGCTCGACCCGTGACGGCGACATCGTTCCGGCTCGTCTCTCCTTCTCTCTATCTCTCTCTCTCGTATCTGTCTCTTTCTCTCGCTCTCGATCCGCCTCGGCGTACTCTACCCACGGCTGCCAGTAAGCAAAATGTTAGCAGTCTGTCGGCAGCATGCAAGCAGATTCAAACAGAATATTGCAGCAGATTGGCATCAACTGCGTCCGCATTAAGTTTGGGTTCTGCTAGCAGAATCTGTCAGCATAAACTGACAGCAGATTGACAGCAGAAATCGAGTAGGATCTGCGCGTGCAATTTGATGTTAGATTGTCAGCAGAAACCGAGCAGAATCTGCGGATGCAACCTGATGGCAAATTGACAGCAGAAACTTCACAAGATTTGCGCTTTTATTAATGTTATATAAATGCAACAAAATTGATTATTACAGGTGCTATAGTAACAATAAATAACAATAAATAACAATATTATCGGCAAGTTAATTAGAATTTTCTTAGAAAATGACATATATGTAATGTATTATATCGTAGTTATATCTCATATAACGAAGGACTAATTTCAATTCAATTTAATTAAATTAATAATAAATTAAATGATGAAAGTAAATGTAACTTGTAAAACTTGAGATGTAATTTATTTAGAATTAAATTCTTGCTTTATGCCTCAAATAGGCAGTACATGAATAATTTTCCATTTATCATATTGATTCTAATCAATTTAATATTCTGACTCTCACTTGCTTGTATCAGATATCAGAAATTATAGTGATAAAAATTAAAATAATAATTACTATATTTTTAATCTTTTACTCATATTTACGACGTTATATATACTTCTGACAGAAATTCAATTACGAGTAAGTACAGCTCACGTAGCGGTAAGTGAAGGAACTATCGAATCATGCAAACCCTGTTCCGTTTCTGCTATCAATCTGCTATCAGAGATTGTGTGCGCAGATCCTGCTCAACTTCTGCCGACAATCTGTTGTCAAATTGCGTCGCACAGATCCTGTTCAATTTCTGCCACTAATCTGCTATGATAATTTTAAATTTTAACAAATCCTGTTCAGTTTCTGATCACAAATTATGTCAGCAGCTTTTGTAACATTTCTGCTGACATTCTGTTAGCATTATTTGATATAAGAAATTTTTTATACAATCTGCAATCATACTGTCGACAAAAATTTGTAGCAGAAATTGACAAAATCTGTTTGTACAGACTTTGTGGACAGGGTGGTTATCCTCGGGCCGCTGTCAGACGCTACCGTGTCCAGACGCTACCGTTGTTAGGATCCCGACTGTCAGACACCAGAAGACAAGACGAAGACATCGCGCCGTTAGCCGAAGCGGAGTCGCGCGGCGCGGACCAATGAGCGGCGCCGCGGTGTCGAGGCTCGTCCAATGGCCGCCGCCGACGTCACGGTCGCGCGCTCGAATCGAATGGCGCGGCCTGGCAGCAGGCGCCCGCGCGTCCGTGACGTTCGTCATGAGTCTGAAAAACGAGAGCCCCTCGCAGTTTTCTTCACGCTTTTCCGCGAAGTTTCTTAGGATTTTTCTCTCGTCTTCAGTTTTTATTATTTTTATTAAGTATGGTGATTGATGCGAGCTTTTAAACATGAAGGATTTTTCTCGTTTTTTTACACGTCGAAATTGTATGAATAATCGGAATTCTCAAGACAATTTTAGAATTTTCTCTCTCAAATTCCGAAAATGCGATTATTTACCATTTTTGCTCTCTTAGGACCATTTTACGATCAGTTAGTTGCTCGCAAATTGACTATTTCGAAAATAATCGATTGTAATGGATCAATTTGCTTACGATTCATGACTTGTAGAATGGATCTTATTTTGAAAAACCAAATGAAATCTCAATATCCGCCAGCAATAAATAAATAATTTAACTTTAATTAAATTCGTAATTTGCAGCTTTCTGCAATATTTTTAAGATTCTTTCATCTTTATTTTTTAATTAAATTTAATTTAACTTAATTTCCTCATTTTTTATATGTCAAAATTATACAAATAAATATGACCCGAGAGAGTCGATAATTAATAATTTACTAAATGAAAACGCGATTTCATCATAGCTTTTTCTAGGATTTTTTCATCTTTCTTATTTTTTAAATTTAAATACAAAAAATATTTTTCTTTCAAATGTCAAATTTTTCTGTTAATTTCTTTCAAAATTGTATAAATAACTGAGATTCGAGAGAATCGAATTTATAATTTTCTCTTTCAAATTCCGAAAATGCGATTATTTATTTTATTTTTGCTCTCTTAAGGCCATTTTAAGATGAATTAGTTGTTTGCAAATTGATTATTTCAAAAATAATCGATTGTGATGGATCAATTTGCTTATGACTAATGACTTGTAGAATGGACCTTATGTTGAAAAACCAAATGAAATCTCAATATCCGCCAGCAATAAATTAATAATTTAACTTTAATTAAATTCCTAATTTCCTTGTAGCTTTCTACGATATTTTTAAGATTCTTTCATCTTTATTTTTTAATTAAATTAAATTTAATTTAATTTCCTCATTTTTTATATGTCAAAATTATACAAATAAATGTAACTCGAGAAAATCAATAATTAATAATTCACTAAATGAAAACGCGATTTCCTCACAGCTTTTTCTAGAATTTTTTCGTCTTCCTTATTTTTTAAAATTTAAATACAAAAAACATTTTTCTTTCAAATGTCAAATTTTTCTCTTTCTTTCAAAATTGTATAAATAACTGGGATTTGAGAGAGTCGAATTTATAATTTTCTGTTTCAAATTCCGAAAACGCGACAATCTGTAATTTTCCTTCTCTCTCCTTGAAAATAATAAACTATTAATAATAAAACCGAATCTCTTTGCTCATTTGCTTGGTGTAATTAACATCGATAATGCGGGGCAATAAATAATTGCTTCTGAATAATCGATAAGATAAGTGTTTATCTGAAACTTGACATGATAACAACACAATGAAATATCTCCTGTTATTAGTTAACTACTGCATTGTACTATAATTAGTGCAATGTCACTTCCTCGATTATTCGGTCTCGATAAGGTTTATTGTTACATTTCAAATCGTGTGAAAAACAAGGGTGAAGCGAGTAACAGCGTTAAATTCGTAAAATGTATTCCGATTTATTAAATTTCACGTATGCCTAAATATGAGCTCTTTACACGTTATAATAATATATATCGTGTAGAGTTTGATATCGAAGAACTTGTTATACATTTATTATAATCGAGATAGTACGTTGGTTAAATTATCGTACAGTGTAATAGATAATAATGTAACATGGCTATAACTAGGCACATACATGTAACAGTGAATCGCAAATAAAAAAATTATGTTCTCAGCCTATCTTATATAAAGTTGAATATAATAATATAATATAATATTAATATAATATAATATAATATAATATTAATACAATATAATATAATAGAATATAATAGAATATAATATAATATTAATACAATATATAATATAATAATATATATATATATATATATATATATATATATATATATATATATATATAATATAACTGCTATGTCTCTCTCTCTCTTTCTCTCTCTCTCTCTCTCTCTCTCTATATATATATATATATATATATATATATATATATATATATAATATATCCAGCAAACAGCAAATAACGGTTATATAATTGTTAGTTGTAATTCAATGTGTTATATAACTGTTATATAACATGTAACAGTTATATCGTTGAGTGGAAAATTATTATTAAATTATATTAATTTATGATTAATGAATTATATTAATTTATGATTAATTAATTATACTAAATTACAACTGATAATTATATAAATTATATAAATGTTATTTGTGTTTTCTGGATACGTATAATTTTAATTACACTGGGTCGACATTGAAACTCTAGAAGACTATATATATAATAGTTTCAAATTCGAGAGCGATCGCTTCTCGCTGATTGTGATCAAGTCAGGTTGCAAATTTTTACGATATCCGGTTCTTTTTTCCTTCCAGCTCCGGCAAATTCGTCGACCCTTCGCTCCAGGTCTCTTACCTCCGAGATCGATAGACGGTTTCTCTCTCTCTTTCTTTCTTTAATCGAGAATTAGCTTTTTGAATATGTGTGTATGTTTCTCGAAATGCTTTATTTCTCAATAATATTCCTTACCACTGATTATTACATGGCCCACTGTGATACTTTCTTAAAATAAGTATTATAATACACTGTTAATTTTATCTCAGTCTATTCGGCTGCTCGGTAACTTCGATGGGTATATATTTTTGCTCTTCTTGTTGCTTCATTTCCTCATAAAAATATATAAATATATAAATATAATATATATAAATATATGTATATATATATATATATATATATATATATTTATATATTTGTGTACATATATATTTACATTCAAGCTTACAAAAATATTTATTCTAAAATAACATTCATATATGTACTTCATATATGTACTTCATATATGTACTTCATATTTGTACTTTATAGCTTAGCTTATTTCAAGAAAATTCTCTATATTGAGCAATATGCGCGTATTACTTTGGTCTCAGTAGAACTATATTTACAGCACTGTTGTTTTTGTACTCCATTTTCGATGAATCCATAGAGATAATAAATAGAAACTGTTTAATCTTCATTTGATTATGCTGAATCCGACTCCAATTTTCTAGATTCTTGATATCGTTGTTTAGGTTTTCTTCCATTCATTTTTATACATCAGTCAATCTTGATATCTCTTGTTTCCTGTCGTTATTAGACTTGAATCATTTTTCGTATTTGTTTCTTCATGAACATTGGCACGTTATTCTTCATCATTCTTTCCTTATATTTATTGCTCGAGGATATAGCTTTTCCAGGTAAATATATCCAACAGTCGTAAACTTTTGAAATTGCGTAACATTAATATATATAAATGCAATATATATACAGATATATATTGACTTGGTATAGTATTGCACATATAATTTGCAAGCTCAAGAAGAAGACTCAAAGTACTATTATTGACAAAATTGTAGAGCTACTACTGTCAGTTGTAGAGCTGCTACTATTGCCACTAACTATAAATATCTAATTATCGCACCTTTTAGATTTTTATAGTATAATATACTGCTTGTTGTATATATTACTGTTGTGCTTAGGCATTTGCAACAGCCGGTATTATTTTCGTATATATTTCTACTCCCTTCAGAAATATGTCTTTGTTTAAATATTCATTGTGATTGTGAAGAAGTATTTTTGTCTTGTTCATTGGAGAAAAGCAGATAGCAGGAATTCCCACCTGAAAAATAAAAATATATTTAAAAGTATTTTATTTTATAAAATAAAGATAAATTAATACGATGAAGCAAAAATTACAATACTATAATGCTTAATTTATAATGATTGCTTATATACTCAATTTGACATTTGGACTGCGCATGATTTATTATTCAAATAAATAATCATCTTTAGAAACAAAAGTGTATAAATTTAAAATAAAGAATTGTAAAAATGTTGAAAATAAAAATTTATAAAAATAAATGCAAAATTTTTATAACAATTCAACTATTAAAATCTTAAAATCTTAAAGCTACAGTTTTAAAGTCATAAAGACAATACTTATGTAGTCTTTTCTACTTAAAAATAAAACATCAAATTTTAATATAAAGAGAGCAATTCAATATGCTCACTACACGAATATAAATTTAAAATAAAGATTTATAAAAATGTTGGAAATAAAAATTTATAAAAATAAATGCAAATTTTTATAACAATTCAACTATTAAAATCTTAAAATCTTAAAGCTACAGTTTTAAAGTCATAAAGACAATACATATTTGATCTTTTCTACTTAAAAAAAAAACATCAAATTTTAATATGAAAAGAGCAATTCAAGCTCACCTGACGAATACAACGGCTATCTGTGCCTCCTGGAAAGATGGCAATTTTCAACTCAACACCTATTTCGTCGCAGGATTTTTTAAAAGCGATCCAGAAAGGATTAGAATCGTCAAGCTTCGTATTTTCGATTTTCGGATCTTTCTCGTCGAAGGAATAAGTTACATCTGGACCGGCTTCCTCGCACCAACGTTTTATAGTAGCCTCGAGTTCTTCGTGATAGACACTGGGCGTTATACGAATATCGAATGTAGCCTTGAGCTCGGCGGGTATAACATTATTTTGCACGCCACCCTGCAAAGACATATTTAACAGATTAAATTTAGGAAATGTTGAATAGAAAGACTGGATAAGAAAGAGAATGTAGAATTCAATAAAACTGCAAATTGGCAGAGAATAAAATTCCAAGCTAATTGTGTAAAGTAAGGGAAAATGTAAAGCAACAAAATACAATATGATACGCATATCATCATCATTGAACGCAAATAATTGGATATATAATTAGGTGAACATATTAAAATACTCACTGTAGAATATGAATCCCAATAGAATAGACATGTAAAATAGTAAAATAAACAACTATCATGTAACAACTTGAAAATTAAAGCTAATTCATTTATTTGAGAGAATAATCTATTTTCTTCATTCTTCGTGGAAATTCTATTCTTTTGATATGTAATTATATTCTTTTACACACACGTGAATTTAGTAGAAAATTAAATGGACAAAAATGAATGAATGACTCAATGCATAACTTATGAATTCATTCTCGAAAATAACGAATCGATGCTCTTGCATCCGTTGGGTGGTAAAAATGCATGGACAGGCGTAAATACCTACCGAAATCTTTGTAAGATTGACAGACGTCACTTCGCCAAGTTTGATATCAAGGGGAGTTTCCAGCTTCGCTTTCTCGGCTTCTCTGAACTCCATGAAACGGTTGATTATGACTCTCAATTTCTCCCCAGCCGTATTGTTCAGCATAATCGAGCCATGACCGGTAGTGCCGACGCAATTTACAGTCACTTGCCAGGTGGTTCTCTCTCCGTAGAACATGCCAAAATAATCCTCCGGACTGGCCAAACCCTCGTCCAGGGAAAAACCAATGTTCAGAGCTTTAAAATCCGCGGTGTGCACGAAATCCTTCATCCCGAAAACACTGCCAATCTCCTCATCCGGCACGAAGGAGATGTGAATGGTGCGTTGATAACGTTGTCCATTCAGCTTGAGTCTGCGAATCGCCTCCAAGTATTGTATCCCGACGCATTTCATGTCCTGGCTACCGCGAGCGTAGATATTACCCTTCTCGTCTATGTGAGCGCTGAACGGTGGATAGGTCCATTTGTCCTGCATCAATCACGAGAGGTGAATCACGATGTTCTTCGTTAATGTGAAATTTATGTCAATAAATGCCACTTACCTCGAAGACGGGCACAACGTCCATGTGACTGTTCAAGAGGATAGCCGGCTTTGCCGGCTCTGTTCCTACCCACGTGAGAACCACGATCGGTTTATCGGGATGTATGTGATAGACGTTGACTGGCAAGTCGAGCGACTGCGCTTGTCTCTTTAAAAATGCCACGCATTCATCTGAAATGAAAGATACAGAATGTAGAATGTTTAGCCTCTAGAATCTTCAAGATTCAAACAGCAAGAATAATTAATTATTCCAATAATTAATTAGATAATAATTTTAGTTAATAATTAGATGACAAATTAATATCTTATGTGAGCAATTATTAGAACAATCTTATTGTTTGAACTAATATAACTGATGATTCTTATCTAGAATGTTCTGAATAACATGTGAGCTCATAAACTTTAAGACTCTCTAATTTAAATCAATTTTTAATTTAAAAGTCTTTGCATTTTAAACATGAGATCTAAAACATTATCAGGTAGAAGCTGTTATCTTCAATTCTGTCTTATCATGTGAATATTTTTGTACATCTTGAAGTATTTGTAGTGGCAAAATATCATCTAAAAAAAATGTTAATCTCAATGTAGGAAATTGAGTCCCATCAATAGCAGCTTCATCACACTTCATGTTTGTGTTTGTGTCTATTTTTCAAATATCTTCATGATGACTAGAAAGCTCAATAAATTTTCTGATAAAGCAGCACAATTTTTCAGCACAATTTTGATCAATCATCCCTAAAGGAGTTTACTGAGACTTTTTCCAGGAATCTGTTAAAAAAAAGAAGTCCAGCAATTTTTTTCAGTATTAAAGATTAAGGCCAGGTTGCACCAACATTAATTTGGACTTGAGTGAGATCGAAGTAGCCTGTCTACATCTTTATCTTCCTTCCTACCTAAAAAGACACATATATCTTCGAGTCTTCTAGACCTTGAAACTAGCCTAGACTCTCTCTTTCCAGCTATTTCACCTTCAGGGGAGTTTAAAGCTACTTCTCGGGGAACTTCCCGAGGCTGTACTCACCGTAATTAATGTTGGGCTGCACCGACGGTATCCGCAGGTACTCGCGAAAGTTCTCCACAGCTGTTTCGTCCAGCTCGGCCCGTGACGGCGACATCGTTCCGGCTCCTCTCACCTTCTCTCTCACTCTCTCGTATCTGTCTCTTTCTCTCGCTCTCGATCCGTCTCGGCGTGTTCTTCCCACGGCTGCTTATCCTCGGGCCGCTGTCAGGCGCTACCGCGTCCGGATGCTACCGCCGTCAGGATCGCGACTGTCAGGGTACGGCCACGTGGACTGATATTTAACGCGTACCGTGTAACCAATTAGAGGCGTAATTCTGTTATAGCATAACAGAAGCACAACAGAATTACGCCTTTAATTGGTTACGCGGTACGCATTACTTGGAACATATCAGTCCATATGACCGTAACCTCAAGGTGCAATTTCATTGACGCTAAAAAGTAGCGTCAATGAAATTGCACCTTCAGACGGCAGAGGACAAGACGCCGGGCCGTGATCCGGAGCTGAGTCGCGCGGCGCGGGCCAATGAGCGGCGCCGCGGCTCGCCCAATCGCCGCCGCCGCCGCCGGCGCTGACGTCACGGCCGCGCGCTCGAATCGAATGGCGCGGCCTTGCAACAGGCGCCGCGCGTCCTTCACGTCCGTCGTGGGTCTGGAAACACGAGTCCCTCGCAGTTTCCTTCACGCTTTTCCGCGATGTTTCTTAGGATTTTTCTCTCGTCTTTAGTTTTTATTATTTTTATTAAGTATGAGGATTGATGCGAGCGTCTTGCTTTTAAACATGAAGGATTTTTCTCGTTTTTTTACATGTTGAAATTGTATGAATAATCGGAATTCTCGAGACAATTTTAGAATTTTCTCTCTCAAATTCCGAAAATGCGATTATTTACCATTTTTGCTCTCTTAGAGCCATTTTACAATGAGTTAGTTGCTTGCAAATTGATTATTTCGAAAATAATCGATTGTGATGGATCAATTTGCTTACGACTAATGACTTGTAGAATGGAACTTATTTTGAAAAACTAAATGAATATCCGCCAGCAATAAATTAATAATTTAACTTTAATTAAATTCTCTTAATTTCTTTCAAAATTGTATAAATAACTGGGATTCGAGAGAATCGAATTTATAATTTTCTGTCTCAAATTCCGAAAACACGACAATCTATAATTTTCATTCGCTCTCCTTGAAAATAATAAACTATTAACAATAAAACAGAATCTCTTTGCTCATTTGCTCGGTGTAATTAACATCGATAATGCGGGACAATAAATACTTGCTTCTGAAGAACCGAGAAGATAAGTGTTTATCTGAAACTTGATAACAACGCAATGAAATATCCCGTTATTAACAATTAATGCAATGTCACTTTTGTCCACGATTATTCGGTCTCGATAAGCTTTATTGTTACATTTCAGATACGTGTGAAAAACAAGGGTGAAGCAAGTAACAGCGTTAAATTCGTAAAATGTATTCCGATTTATTAAATTTCACGTATGCCTAAATATGAGCTCTTTACACGTTATAATAATATATATCGTGTAGAGTTTGATATCGAAGAACTTGTTATACATTTATTATAATCGATAGTACGTTGATTAAATTATCGTACAGTGTAATAGATAATAATGTAACATGGCTATAACTAGGCACATACATGTAACAGTGAATCGCAAATAAAAAAATTATGTTCTCAGCCTATCTTATATAAAGTTGAATATAATAATATATAATATTAATATAATATATAATATAATAATATATATATAATATAACTGCTATGTCTCTCTCTCTCTTTCTCTTTCTCTCTCTCTCTCTCTCTTTCTCTCTTTCTTTCTTTCTCTCTTCTGCGTGTATTTCTCTTATTTACAACATTGAAACGATTATCTCTAACGAGTTGCTTTATATCTATCAGATACCTTTAATAACAAAGTCGCTTGTTTTTTTTTGCCTGCCCCTCTTCGTCAGAATGTCATTATACAGATATATTAGTATTAGAGCTATATATGTAGGAGAATTGTACAACGGACAATAAATTTACGGATTTAGCTGCAAAGCAATATCCTTGTATCTTTCGGATTCCACGAAAGGTCCAAGAGGATAGAGAAAGATTAAAATATATATGTATATATATATGTATATATATGCGAAGGATTTTAATATAGATATATATATATATATATATATATATATATATATATATATGATATATATATACTTAAAATTATGTTACAAAAATATTTACATGTTCTCAATGTATACTCGGATGGCGAACATGAGCTGTACACTCTCTATCATTCTCTGTCTCACCCTCTCTCTCTCTCTCGGTATCCGATGTTTACGCCACCCGTAGCAATTTATAACTTATATTAGTACACACACGTTTCTTTTTTCTTTTATTATTACAAAATATCGGCTAAAGTACAAAGTAAACACCAAATGCCAAAAATATGTCTGATTTACACTTTGAAATCGCAGCCGAACGCAATATAAAGAGGGCTCTCCCTCCCCCTCCTCTCGTCTCATTTTCATCTCGCTCTCGAGCCCAGGAGAACCTTACGTATATATATGCGCCCAGAAGAATTCCGTTGTAATACTTTCGCAGAGAATACATAAATACATATTATAACTTAATTTTTGCCCCCCGCCCCCCGCCCCCGGCTTACTTTCTAATCACAGATCTTTAAACTTTGATATTTGCTTAAGAACCGATGATTGAAGTCGCGCGATTGTTTCTTCTTTTATTATACACGTTTCGGAAAAACTCCACGCGTTTTACATGTTTTTTTTTTTCGTCATACAAGTTCAGGAATCTCGGTCGCGAATCACGTAAAACGGACCAGCGATCCATTCGGTCGAACGTCAGATTTTTTTCTTCTTTTTACATATTTATATAAATTATATTTTTTAAATTATATTATTAATTATAATTTTAAATTATAAAATTATGCTTTAAAATTATTAAATTTATATCTATATAAATTTATTAATTTAAAATTATTTATATAAATTTATCAATTTAAAATTATAATTTTAAATCGTTAAATTTATATTTTATATAAATTTATTAATCGACCGTGTTTTGTGAGATTTCGAATGAAAATTCTTCCAAGCTTTCCAGCGGAACGTGGATTTCGCAGCCGCGGTTATGTGTTCGCGACCAAAGAGGACCGTGAAAATGAAAAAAATTTGGAGACGTTGAAAAAGAGTAAAATTAACGCGATTCGTTGAATAAATTAAGATATATATTTATAATTTTCTCTGCCAATTCTCTCTGTCGAGACATTCGCTAAATATAAGTTGTTCTTCTCTTCGAATCGATCCTAATTAGTCGCTTTTGACGAGCGAGGTACCTCGAGCACCTATAGCATAGCTATAATTTTTTTTTTACGAGAGTCTCTCTAAGATTGTACCGCCTCTAATGTTGTACTATAATTAATTTCGCGAGCGACGCGCGTTTTACTGCTCCGCAGAAGGTGAAATAGCTATGACAATTGTTATAGTGCATCGAAAAATCTGAAATATATATCGCAAGGAGTATCTCTAACGACAAGTATTCATCGTTGTTTTCCCTTTTACAGTGAATATTCGCCATCGCTCGCCCTCTCCCAAGCGCCCGCGACCGAAAATACAATAAACAATACATGAATTAAAATCATACAAACGGAGAAAGATCGACTTACGAATTAAAGAAATGCAAAACTCGGCTTCTCTCCTCGCCTTTAACAAGTAATAACATATTAATTTACAGCAATTAATCATCACGCCCCGTCAAAATCCGAAACTCTTTTTTCACACATGATATACACATACATGCATACACATGTAGCATACTGTGTACGTGTGTGTATATGTATGTATGTGTACCTATGTGTGTATGTATATATATATATATATATAATAATTTTAATTACACATATAAAGTACAATATATCCAGCAAACAGCAAATAACAATTATATAATTGTTAGTTGTAATTTAACATGTTTTATAACTGTTATATAACATGTAACAGTTATATCGTTGGGAAATTATTATTAAATTATATTAATTTATGATTAATTATATTAAACTACAACTGACAATTATATAAATGTTATTTGATGTTTTCTGGATATGTATAATTTTAATTACACTGGATCGACGTTGAAACTCTAGAAGACTATATATATAATAGTTTCAAGTTCGAGAGCGATCGCTTCTCGCTGTTTGTGATCAAGTCGAGTTGCAAATATTTACGATATCGGGTCGTAATGCGCTGCCCACAATTTTTAAAACGCAAAGAGGAAAGAATACACGCACATTTTCATCGACTAAAAATCGTGTTTCGTAGATGAAATAAGAAGAATTTTTCTCGTTAATAAAATAGCCCGATGTTCTCTCTCTTTCTCTCTTTGCATTTAATTGATTTAATTAATTTATCTCTCTCTAGGCTCTCTTTTGTTTTGATGCACTCTTCTCTTCTTTACCGCTTAGTAAATTTTGTACTTGAATGAGTGTTGAATGAAGAACGAATAAAGTTTCGGGAGATTGACTTAAAAGAAGAAACGAATTCATAAATAAAATATTATATTATCGCTCGATTTCTCTCGCTTTCTTTTTTTCGTACAACTAAAAAATATATTCCACATATCGTTTAAATGACGAAAACAATAGTACATGTAATTCAATATCGTGTAAATAGTACGCACATCTTCTTTAAACATTAATATAGATTCAAGGGTAAATAACGCATTTAAATAAAATATTAACTTTAAAAGCAAAAAAACGTTGCTCGTATCGTATAACCGTTCTACCTTGTGAAAAAATAAACGAAACGAAATTTCCAAAATCGAACTAAAGCTTACATATTTCAACATTTATTCTTTATTATAAATAATCTATCATTTACAGTGAAATATAAAATATAGAAAATTCCACGCTCTCCCCCCCCCCTTTTTTTGGCTCTGCATCATCAAAAAACTTCACGATGTAGTACCATCTCGCTTATCTATCGTTAGAATAAGTTTGTGTTGAGATTAGGAGAATAATCGCGTTTCCTACAGACTAGTCTAAATAGCATCGTTAAATATATATATATAACTTCGTATATCGTTAGTATTATGCATTTTATTTATATAGATACACACACACACATGTATCTATGTATATATACACACACAGAGATAAGTTGAATGATACAGAGTGTGCACATTGTAATGATAACTGCTTTTAGAAGGGATATATCGCGCGAGCCAAAGTGTCAATCTCACTCGCAAACGCCTCCAACTTTAATCTTATCAAAATTGAGTGTGTGTGTGTGTGTGTGTACGTGTAAACTACATGACTATATATAAACATTTTAGGGCACCGCATTTCGCCGGTATAAAAAGTGTACGCCATTCGAGTATACACTTTTGGCCGTGAAAGAGAGTCGCCGGATTATTCTAGATACACGCTAGTTGAAATGCGCCGCTACATATCCTCGAAATACTCAGCCTTAGGCCATCACCGCGCGAGTCCCGTCCCGAATATTTTGAGAGAGGAACCGTCAGATGAACGTCTACTGATTAAATCCTTTCGATATCCGCGCAACGATTCTAGAAGCGATCGATGATACACACTAAGCTCCAAGGCTTCTCCTCCTAATTATTTAGCGAACCTACATACACGCGCCTGTATCCATCATTTTGCAACAAGAGAAGGACGCGCACGAACTTCCGGGTTCAGCTAGAGCTCGTATTTCTTCCTTGCGAGAAGGAAAAAGACCGTGCACGAGGGTCCAATCGCTTAGGGACTTCGTTCCCGATCGAGAACATGTAAAATGATATCAATTTGGAACTCGAGAATTTGCGACAATCCTACCCTCCTCTACCGGTTACGATCTCGGCGGTGCTGGGTGATTGAAAAATGGCTTTTGCGGCTGTCCCGACGACGTGGGGGGGTACGCTTGGTTGGCCGGTGGCGGTGGCGTCGTCGACGCTGATGCCGTAGCCACCGTTGCTGCCGTTGCTACTACCGCTGGTGGCGGTGGTGGTGGTACAAATTGAGGCGGAGGATACGGGTTGGAACCCGGTGGCGCTTGGGACGCTTGAGGTACCAGGAATTGCTGTTGCACTTGCTTGCTGGCGGCTCCACCCGCCTGCGATGGCACGGCAGGGCCGTACATCGGCTGCTGAGTACTGGAGGTGGTCTGCGGGGGCATCGCAAAGTTCGGATATTGCACCGGAGCGGGTTTACTCTGGAACTGGGGATAGTGAATGGACGCGGAGCCGGGTGGCGGGATGTACGGCTGAGGTGGCAGCTGCTGAAGTCCGGGATACCCTGGCGGCGTGTTGGCGACCAGATTCTGAGGCGGGGATTTGTGCGCCTTCAGTATCGCCTCGGCTGTCAAACCTATAATCCAGAAAAATGATGGAATGAACACTGAACAACGGAGGCTGCCTTTTGGTCTTATAGCATCATTATCATGAGTCTCTTGAAACGTTGCGAGATAAAAATTAGTAGCTTCAACATCTAATCCCTCTAAGTCTATTCCTCCAAGTTTATATTATTTTTCGCCCACACATATACAGGGTGTTCCATTTTAATCGATCACCCCGAATAACTTTTTTAATTTTGATTGTAGAAAAAAATGTTTCAGACGAAAGTTGTACGATTTTAAGTGACGTATTACACAGTAATATTATTATGACCTGGAAGAGTGTTGTTAAGGTCACGTGAAGATCATCTTAAATTTCTTAAATGGAACCCTCTATTTTTAATTACATATTCTTGTAACTTACCTCGAGAGCTTTTCAAAACACTATAATAAAGTATTTTGTCATTGAGTACTTTCCGAATTATGAGACTTGAAATCGTTTCTTAATTTTACATAAACCGTAAGATATCCTGTAAAATATACATTTTTCGATTTTCGATTTCGATTATTTTTCGATATTATTTAATACTTTTATGTACAAAATAATGAGAGGAATCAATTGGTGTAAAGAACACACATAATTGTTTCGAAGAAAAAATATGTAACTTGCAATTAACAATTCCATATTTTTTCTTAAAAACAACTGTGTTTTTCCTTTACACCAATTGATTCCTCTCATTATTTTGTACATAAAAGTATTAAGGTAAGATAATCGAAAAATGAATATTTTGCTAGATATTTTATGGTTTATGTAAAATTAAGATATTATTTTAAGCCTCATAACTCGAAAAGTACTCAATGAAAAAATATTTTATTATAGTGTTTTGGAAAGCTCTTGAGGCAAGCTATAAGAATATGTAAAAGTATGTAGGGTGTCCCGTTTAAAAAGTTGGAGATGACCTTCACGTGACCTTCAGGTGACTCTTCAACGTCAAACTAATCACACCATCTTATGTCCCCCTTCAAGCCATACAACTTTTGTCTGAAACATTTTTTTCTACAATCAAAATTAAAAAAGTTATTTGGGATAATCGATTAAAATGAGATACCCTGCCTTTTTTAAATATGCTAAATTACAAGTTTCAACTCGGTGCGTACCGTGCTTACGAGCTCTCTCCTCTTCGTCGTCACTGAGAAACAATCCGAATTCGCGTTTTAGTCGCTCGGTGAGATTTTCTCGCTGACGTTCTACCAGAGTTGGCGCCGCGGACCAACCGATCGTACCCTCCTCCCCACCTGATTCGAATATTAATCTATTTAATCGCGTTAGATTAAGCCAGGAAAATACCATGAAAATTTACATATGTGTCACCTTATATCTTTGTCTAGATTTAAGCATCTTTTTCGAGAAATTTTAATCCTGTCAAAACTCATACATGTTTTACTCTCCTACAAGTTGGATCGCTACCTTTCTTTTCATCGTTCTCGTTGGTGGCGTTCGGGAAGAGCGTCAATGTGGTAACGCCTGATAAATCCAGGGTAGCAGATGCCTTGGAGCCCTCCTCGTCGGAGCTGAGCGAAGAGGTGCCGCTGCTGGTGCTATCCGATCTACCTCGCGCCCCATTTTTATCAGAGATGGAATCATCCTTGGACGATTCTGGCTCAGCTCCAGCTCCTCCGGACGATTGTTGTTTGCGTTTGCGATATTCCGATATGGACAACTGGAAAGGTAAATAGAAACATTTTCCTATAACACATTCGCCATTTTTCATCAGGAATAATCAGTTGAAAAAGAAGCAGGAATGAAGCAAATGAAGAAATTATATCTGGTCCATTTGGTGCGTACTGATGCAGATAAAATGCTGATGAAGAAAGAAGGAGAGAAACAATGGACACCCTACCTTCTTAGCAACATAAAAAACCTTACTACAGCCCTACCGTTCTAACCTTGCGCTTGACGGGAGGAAGAGCGTCCGGTTTAAAGGCCGGTGGTGCAGGCATGTTATTTGGTACGACGGTTCTCGGGTCTTTCAATCGTTTGATTTCCTTGGGTTTGGTCTCCTCCTCCTTGACAGGAGTCTCTTCCGGCTTCGGAGCTTCTTGGGCTGTACTCGAGTCTTGTACCACGTCTAGACTATGTTCAGGAGAGATGTCTGATTTTGGTTGAGTTACTTGCGACGATGCGCTAATCTCGTTATCAATGTCATTTTTTATTACTTCAGGCTCGTCGTCCAGCTTCGCTTCCAGGAGCTCGCGCAACGCGGTCGACAGCATCGATTTCTCCTCGCCGTTCGTCGACTCTTCCACCGTGTCCATGGTTATCGTGGACTCTATGATGGCCGCCTCAAAGTCCATCTTGGGTGCCTTGGGCGCGGCTGGATCAGCCTTCTTGCGAATGCGCTCGCTCAAAGGTGGAATCGAATGGAAGATCTTGGGAGGATCCAAGACGGACTCTGCGTTCGACGAAGTCGACTCGAAGATAGACTCCTCAGACAAAGCCGTGAAAGTGGACGACTCCGTTTTGGGAGCCTCATCGCTCGCGTCTCCCTTGATCGTCTCCTTCACGTCGTCTTCCATAAGGGAGACCTGCTCTGATTTCTCATCAGGCTTAGCGTCCAGTTCGTTGAAAGGCGCCTCTTCGTGTTTCATGTCGAACAGCTTGAAGGACTCATCGTCGTCCATGTCCTTGTCTTCCGAATCCGAGTCCTCCTTCGAGCTTTCCATCAATCCCTCTATTCCATCCATGCTCTTGTCCTTCTCCGAACTCGTGTCGATCTTTTCTTGGTAATCGTTGCCGTCGTCGCCCGTGATCTTCTTCATCTGCGCCTCGACGTCAAACTCGTCGATGGACGCGTTATCGTCCGATTTCTCGACGACGATCTCCTGACACTTTGCGACGCTTTCGGACGACTTATCTTCAGATTTCTTATTTTCGTCGCTGGCAACGTTCAACGAGATTTCGTCGATGCCGCCAAATTCCAGCTGCAACTCGGCCACTCGTTGCTCCAGAATCTCATCGGGTTCCATGGGAGAGGGATATCCTTCTATCTCGGTGTGCGATATATTGTGATGGATTATCTCGACCGTTCCTTGTTCCTCCTTCTTCAAGAAGGGCTCTTTCTTCAGATTCAAGTCACTAAACGACACTCCACTTTCCACGACCTTCTGAATCTTTGCGAATATCTTCGGGTCCAGGGAGCTGTAGTTACATTCGGTCTTTATATCACCTTTCTCCCATTTTGGGAAAACCTTTTCCTCCTTTATCGTGGCACTTTCCGCGCTCATTACCGGGGAAATTTTCGCCTTGATATCCGAGAAATCCGAGCATTTCTCTTCATTACATGTCACGAAAAAATCCGATTGGGAAAAGGTGTCGACTGATATCTTCTTCCGAACGACCGACTCGTCGGAATCTACCGGTCTGCCGTCAACGTTCATCTCTTCTTTCACAGATTCCGACTCGTACTGCCCCTCGTCGTTCTGTTCTACGAAAGGTGACTGCGCACGTTCCGCATAGTCATCCTGGAAAGACAGTAATATTGACCCTATATTAAAAAATGTCGAATCATATTATATATTAGACACGTTAGAATAATGCATCATTCAAACGCTGAAATATGCATTAGCCAGACTCACTTCAGTGGGACATAACGATCTGTTGTTTGACGCCGCCTCGGTTGGTAGCAGCATAGTTGGGGTTGTCGGTGGAGTGTAGTTCTCCGACGACAGACTCTCCCGGGCTATTCTGCGCTTCTTGGGCGGAGCTACCGTCTCGCTGAGCGATGGGGGACTTTCGGGCCGGCTGTTAGGGGAGTCGCACTCCTCCGAGATTGCCTGACGCAGCCACCGTTTCTTTGCCGAGCCCGTGGGACAACCACCGCTGCTTCCACCGTTGTTGTTGTTGTTGCAGGGAGTGGAAGCGCCCTGCTGCTGCTGTCTACGCTGCGGTGGAGAGTCGCATATACCGCTAACCGAGTTGGCGGCTTGCACGAGAGTGGCCAGGCTCTTGGCCGCGTAGCTCTGCGAGAGAAATTCCGCTGTTGGATCTGTCGGTAGCGGTGGGAAGTGTCTGCCGCACAGCGGATGGTTCACGGAATTCGGCAAGGTCGGAGCTGAAGGTAGAGCCGGCAGCGGTGATACCTGGGGTACGTTGGCCGGCGGCGGATCGGGCGACTCCTTCAGCCACTCGTTCATCAGTACCTTCTTCGTTTTGGGGAACTTGAAGCCTGGCGCCAGTGGACCAACCGCTGCAGCCACCAGCAAGCAGGCGGATGATAGCGGGGTGGATGGCGTGGAGCTTTGAGAGCTACTGCTGGCCCCGCTGTCGCAGGTAGGGCTTTTGACGGGGGTGGGCTGTTGCAGAGGGGGCGAGCTCGGAGGACCTGGAACGTTGGAGTTTGCTAGGGCCAATAGTAAACCGGCCGCTGTTGGAATTCCACTGTGATGGCCACCAGATGACGGTCCGATGTTGCTCGCACTGTCTCCGATCGCGACTGTGTTCTTGGCCGGTGTGTGTAAGTGCGACGAATAGGGAACTTCCCGGCTGGGTGGGCGACCCAGCAGAGGCGGCGATTGCATGGAATTGCTTTCGTCTCCGGAAGATACGTCGGACTCGGCCGAATTCAACCTTGTTCTTCGATTGTTAGCATTCTGCGATTGAGACGTGCTCGTCGTCCTCGCCCGACCTTTTCTCCTCTTCCGCCGCAACGGTCTATCCGAGCTTGCCTGTTTACCACTCTTGGACGACTGTCCCGTCGTCGGATTATTATCCTCATTGTCGCTGTGGGTGCCACTAGACTCCTTTCGTTGCGCGTTTCTCGCTTGGACCTCCTGCCGCCTCTGTTCCGCCTTTTCCATCCTCTCAATGGCCTTCATGATAGCCTCCATCTTCCTCTCCTCCCGTGTCATCTTCTTTTTATCCTTTTTCGTTTCCGGTGTCGCCACCGATTCCCTTAAACCGGGTGATGATTGAGGCTGTACGTTCGTTACAGTCGCGGTAGGTTCTTCCTTGGGGACTTGACGAGTCGTGGAAACGGTAACCGTGGTCGTGACGGTTTTTCTCGGCGTCGTGACCGTCACCGTCGACGGTGCGGATGACGTCGCGGTCGAAGTGACTTGTTGCGCGATGCTCGTAGGAACTGGCGGCGCCGGGGGATCAGTTTCCTCGCAGACGGTGTTTCTTCTACCTCGTCGCCTTCGTTCTCTGCCACTGTAAGCAACAAAAATACATAATGAAATATATACAGGATGTTAGAAAAGTCTGGAAACAGTCAAATATCAATAAGGAAGAATTTTACTAGAAAGTGTTTCAGACAAAAGTTGTATGGTTTCGAGGGGGACATAAGATGGTACCATTAATTTGATCTTGAAGAGTCACCTGAAGGTCACGTAAAGGTCATCTCCAACTTTTTAAATGGAACCCCCTATTTTTCATTGCATATTCTTGTAGCTTATCCCGAGAGCTTTCCAAAACACTATAATAAATTATTTTTCCCTCAAGTACTTTTTGAGTTATAAGGCTTGAAATAATTTCTTAATTTTACATAAAATATCTTGTAAAATATTCATTTTTCGATTATATTACCTTAATACTTTTATGTACAAAATAATGGGAGTAATTAATTGGTGTAAAGAAAACATACAGTTGTTTTTAAGAAAAAATATGGAATTGTTAATTGCAAATTACATATTTTTTCTTAAAAACAACTATGTTTTTCGTTTTTTCGTTTTTCGTTTTTCGTTACACCAATTGATTCCTCTCATTATTCCGTCCATAAAAGTATTAAGATAAGATAATCGAAAAATGAATATTTTGCTAGATATTTTATGGTTTATGTAAAATTAAGATATTATTTTAAACCTCATAACTCGAAAAGTACTCAATGAAAAAATACTTTATTATAGTGTTTTGGAAAGCTCTTGAGGCAAGCTGTAAGAATATGTAAAAGCATGTAGGGTGTTGTTGTCCCATTTAAAAAGTTGGAGGTGATCTTCACGTGATCTTCAGATGACTCTTCAAGGTCAAATTAATGGCACCATATCATATCCCCCTCGAAGCCATACAACTTTTGTCCGAGACACTTTCTAGTAAAACTCTTCCTTATCGAGATATTCTACGTTATCTCATCAACTTACTCGGCATTTTCGATGAGAGCGCCGTTACTACCTCTTCTGTTCAGTTGCTGATTCGTCGCGTTGGCGATCTGACACTCCCGCGGATTGTTACACGCGCACACGACGGGCAACGCGGGAGAGGAGCCGGGATTGGGCGATAGCAATAGGTCGTGCTGCTCATGCTTGATTGTTATTTCGGCGTTCTTCTCGATCGCACAGGTCGTGACGATGTAGAGGTGCAGCGTGCCCTTCTCGATGCAATGCTTCACCTCGGCGTTCGGCTTGCAACTGCGCCGCACGAACCTCGCGTCGTTCCCGTACGTTCGCGTGTCCACGCACACCTCGGTGCCGTCTCGTGGCAAACGATAAAAGAAGACGAACGGCCCCGGTCGCTGGGCGTGCTGTCTACCACCCTGCGGATGCTGCGACCGATGCTGCGTACTGAGCATGTACTTGCCGCGTAGTTCCACGACGGGGGTGTTTGGCGGAAGGTACATGGTCGCCACCAGGAACTGTATCAGTCATGAAGAAAAGACATTCTGGTATAAATTTCGTCATATCTTTCCAATATGAGACAAGAATGAGCCAGTAGGTGAAAAGTGTGTTTTCGATCTTATTCTAAAAGTGAATGATTCAGGTGAATAATTGTGATTATTAATACATGATATCGAAAGAAAGAATAATAATTGAAGAGATATAAAAGATAAAGTAATGATTCTTTCTTCCTTTCAAGATGATGGCTTACTTACTCTGAGATTATTACTGTGCACGTTCAGCCTGCATTTGCCGGTGGCTATGACATTCATGTTAGTCTGCCTGAGATCGCTATGCGTGCCGTTGACCTTGATGCTCGATATCCTGGCACGTAATTCGGGACTGTAATGATTCGTGACGGCCTCCTCGTATCTCTCGATCCACTGCCTGAGAGGCGCCATGTTGCTGCCCCAGGCATCTTGCACGTCCTCCTCCTTGTCCTCGAGACTCATCCTCCTCTTGGCTTTGCGTTTCCCGGGTCCTCGCTTCGGCGTCGCGTTCTCCTTCTTGCGAACCGCGCTCGATTGCCGAGCATGCGAGTCCCTTCTCTGTCTCTTCGCCACGTTGTTGTTATTGTTGTTGTTGTTGTTCAGCCTTCGCACCTGCGCGGATTGAGCGGGCGCGTCAGACTTGCCGCGTCGCGGGATCTGCGACGATGGCTGCTGCTGCTGCTGCGAGAGCGATCGTTTCTTCTGGACCGTGGCGTTCACCGAGCCAACGTCCGTGTCCGCTGAACTGGTGGACGATGTATCGGACGACGTGTCCGAATTGAGCAGCTCCTCGCGCTTGCGCATTTGCAGAGTGCGAGCTCGCTGTCTGTCCACTCGTCGCGGCCGACACCTCTCGCAGAGATACTCGTCAGGAATGTTCGAGCGGTCTATGCCCATGCAGTCGACATGCTGCCAGACTCTATAATGTTATAAGTTTTCAATAAATGACTTCTTTCCGATCTGGAAAATTGCGATTTCCAGATGATGATCTGGAAAGTTGCAATTTCCAGATGACTTTTTTCGTCTACAATGGATATTTAGCGTTATTTAAAGCACAACAAAGCGAGAATATTTTTTATATATAAATTAAAGTACTAGGAAGCGAGAATATATAAAGTTTCTTTATACAGGGTGGACCAAAAGTCTGGATACAATCGAATATCTCGTATAGAATGCATTTTAGAACAAAATGCTTTAGACAAAAGTTGTAAGGATTAAAAAGATGTATTTAACTGTAATATCCATTTGACATTGAGTGGCGTCGTCAAAGTCAGGACAAGGTCAACTTGAATTTTTTAAATGGAACCCCCTATTTTTCATTGCACATTCTTGTAGCTTATCTCGAGAGCTTTCCAAAACATTACAATTAAATTATTTTTCCCTCAAGTACTTTTTGACTTATGGCTTGAAATCATTTCTTAATTTTACATAAACCGTAAAATATCTAGTAAAGTATTCATTTTTCCATTATCTAACCTTAATACTTTTATGTACAAAATAATGAGAGGAATCAATTGGTGTAAAGAAAACACATAGTTACTTTTCAGAAAAAATATTTAATTGTTAATTGCAAATTACATATTTTTTCTTCAAAATAACTATGTGTTTTCCTTACATCAATTGATTCTTCTCATTATTTTGTACATAAAAGTATTAAGATTAGATAATTGAAAAATGAATATTTTACAAAATATTTTACGGTTTATGTAAAATTAAGAAATGATTTCAAGCCTTGTAACTCAAAAAGTGCTTGAGGGAAAAATATTTTATTATAGTGTTTTGGAAACTCTTGAGGTAAGCTACAAGAATATGCAATAAAAAATAGGGGGTTCCATTTAAAAAATTCAAGTTGACCGTGCCCTGACCTTGGCGACGCCACTCAATGTCAAATGAATATTACAATTAAATACATCTTTTTAATCCTTACAACTTTTATCTAGAGCATTTTGTTCCAAAATGCATTCTATACGAGATATTCGACTGTATCCACTTTTGGTTCACTCTGTATATTTTCGCTTGTCGTTCTCTAATCTATATTTTGTACTAATATTGATAGTGACTTACAAGCATCGATCGCAACAAATCATGTATCCATCGTCATGTTCAAAGTCGCTAAAATCATATATATATACATATATATATATATTTATATTTATATCTATGTGTAAATTTATATTATAATTCTATATTATAATTATATAATAATATTATCGTCAAATTATATCATATCCACTAGTTTATCTACGGGTCTAGTGTAAATGTACAGTGTTGTATGATCGTACGCTTAAGAATCATTTGCATACCAGATACATCTAGTGACGCTGTCTTCGTCGTCGCCTTCCCCTTCAGGTGCCGTTTCGGTTTCTTCACCCTCCGGTTCCGCTTCTCGTCCCGCTTCGCTGCTGATTGTGCTGGCGGCGTCATCCTCTGTATTGGTATTGCTCACAACTTCAAAATAAGTAACATTTATTATCATCAATTTCGCTATAATCATCATGAAAGATATCGGAAACAGTTTTGATAACGGTTTGTATAAGATCTCAAGGATGTACTTTCTTAAACAGAAGAGACTTGGGCAACTTTGCGCAATGATATACAAAGGCATTACCGGGACCAAAGATGTAAGGATGCTGAGAGGTGGCTGTGGAACTGCCGGCTCCGTTAATGGGTTGCTGCTTGGGATGAGGCGGCGATGACGGAGGTGGTGGCGGAGTTCGCGGTGGTGGGGCTCCATAATTGTGATCTTGGAGAACAAACTGAAGACACTGGAATTAAATAGGTACACATGATGTCTATGTAAATTGAGAATATTTTTTTTAATCAAGAAAATCTAAATATCAATCGTGCAATCTTGCAAAAAAAAAACACAAATAAATATGTAATTCAAAGAACTTTCCAAGCCAAACACTGGATTTAGCTTTATACCTCGTAAGGAAGTGGCATTCTTCTCACTGGCGATTTACGGGCGCTTTGTTCCTCTTCTTTGGAAATTCGTAACTCGGTTTCATTTCTACAAAAGGAAAAAAAAAAACATTATTTTGTATCGCTTAAAATATGGGCGATAAAAAGAGAAAAGATTAGTCTACTGGTCTACTTGAACTTACTTTATTTCAATGAGGTCCTTACGAAGGTTTTCGGTCATGGTCGAGGATACCGGCAACAAGGTCTTTATTTGCCCGCTCTGTTGCCTGATCTGTTGGGTATATTGCGGTGTCATGATTAGTTGCTTTTGCTGCATCACTTGTGGTTGGATCTTGATCGGAGAGCTCTTGTGCGCGGCCAGTACGTTGGACGATGCGACCGTAGCTGTTTGCTGCAATAAGGTCTTGATACATCCTTTTTGCGCAATTTGTATCGCGGTCGAGCCCTGAGCCTTCGGCAACGCTGTCACGTTCGTGTTCAACGAGGTTTTAATACCGCTGCCGCCAACTTTCTGGGCGTGATTCCTCTGCACAGGCTTCTGCGGTGGAATAGTCTTGATGCAGCCAGGTTGCTTCTGCGGAGCGTTCTGCGGATTAATTACATTTTGGTGTTGTTGCTGTTGCTGTTGTTGCTGCTGTCGTTGTTGTAGCAGCTGTTGCTCCCTCTGTTGTGCCAGAATCTTCATGGTTGGGATATTCATAGTCGGGCTATTTCTCTGTACTACGGGCTGTTGAACGGCGTTATTTTGCGAATTTGCAGTAACTTTAACAGGATTCATCATTTTCTGAGAGACGCTCTTTAGGCCTGCCGTAGATTGCGAAGCTTGCGGCGCCTGACCCTTCGATATCCCTACCCTCATCATCATCTGCTGCAACGGCTGTTGCTGCTGTTGAATCTTGGAATTTATCACAGCATGAGTCCTTTGATTATTCGACATGCTCGCCACCACTTTCTGATGCATATTAGTAATACTGTGACTTCTTTGAGCCTGTAGATTATTTGCGTTTGTCGGTTGTTGCGACTTTTGCATTATGGATTGTTGCTGCGAGGTTTGTACAATTTGCTGCTGCAACTGCGTCGACGTGGACTGCTTATTACCAAGCACGTTCGAATTTTGCGGTGGCACTTTAGAAATATTTGGGACGCTGTTACTCTTACAGACGTTACTCATCGTGGTCGGTATTCGATTAGTGTTTAGTATCGTCTGGGATTTTTGCAAGCCAGTCGATTGAGATCTCTGATGAGGCGCCTGCACCTGTTGTTGATTCGCTGTAGGTTGTTGCTGCTGCGTCTGAATCTTTTGTAGACCGGGACCGCTAGACTTTGGGACATTGTTTACCTGTTGCACGGTCAATTGCTGCTGCCTGGTCATCGCCAGGGTCTTCTGGGGTCCCTGTAATTTCTGCAAATTTTGTTGCTGCTGTACCTTATGATTCGGATGATGGCCACTGCTCAACAGCTGCGATGAAACCTGATTGTTACAGACAGATTTTTGCGCGTTGACACTTTGCGCCGTCTTTTGTATCACCGGATTAGTCTGCTGAATCTTTTGGGAATTCGCGATCGTTTGATTGTTGACCGTCAATTGATTCATCTGATTAGTCAACATCTGCGACTTTTGCATGTTCTGGGCTCTGGATAAGGAGTTGTTACGTTGCGCGCCTCCAGACTGAGTAGTCTGATTGGTGTTCATTACGGTCTTTCCCTTCTGCGCAGACTGGCTGGTTATGACACTCGAGGATCCCGTTTTCACCTGTATCCTTTGGAGATTCGTCGCCGCCATCGTAGCGATAGTTTTCACGGCCGCGGCGGTGCCTACGATGTGCTGTTGAACAGAGACGGGATGAAATTTGGGATGCAACGCCTGCACGTTGCTCGCTACTAGTGAAGATTGAGTGGATACAGGAGAGGTGTTGAGGATGGCCAGCGGAACGGGTTGCGCCTGACTCGATGACGACGGTAGCTTTTGCGAGATGACGCGCGTCGTCAACACCTGCGTAGTGTTGGTTTGCGAACCGGCGATCATCTTCTGCACCTGTTCCCGGGCGCCTTTGGCGACCGGATAGGTCACTACAGGCTTGACCGTCGTGAGGGCAGACGCAGTAGTGGCCGTGGTTTGCTGTATCTGATTGCTCGCCGCTTCTAGACACTGCAACAGCTGCGACTTGCCGACGACGTCGTCGCTGCTCGCAATCATCACAGCGTTTCCCGTCGAGGTGTTATTGGTATCGGTGGCGATAGCAATGGGTTCCTGGGACCGCCAGATTTCCCGGGCGAACAACAACGTCGGCGGTTGTCCCTCGCCACCCTTCGTCACGTTTTCCACCACCGATGCCGTCGTGGCCTCCACATCCACATCCAGCTTGAGCACAAAGCTCATGGTGGTTTCGGCGGCCTGCCCGTATTCCTCCTCCATTTCCGCGGATTTGCTCGTTCCAATCGTCGCTGGAACGACAGCTTGCATCGCTTCGTCATCGTTGTTTGCCGACGCCGCTGATGCGTTCTCGTTGCTGCGATTGTCACCGGCTAGTGGAGACACCGGGGGAGGTGGGCCAGGCCCTGGGGACACTTGCTCCCCACTGCCAGCTGTTCCACCCCCCGATAACTTGATTACCGACGGGGTCGACGTTTTGGTAGTCTTGTGAGAGCACGCCAAGTGGAAACTCTGCCGAGTACAATTGGCTATCGTCCTCGCACGGGCTTGTTCTTACCAAGTCTAGTTCTCGATTCGGCTATTTGAGGACCGTGGACCATACGCTGCAACAAAAAGTAGCTGTAGTTAATTTTTTTTCGGGTCCCGATCATCTGAAAATCAATATATCGAGAGGACTAGACGTGTGTCACGCAATGTTTCGTAGATTAATTATACTTTTAATGAGATTGAACGAAACATCAATATCCTTGGTCTGGCTGTCAGTAAAAAAGGAAACCTTTTTTTCCTTCCAGGTGCAAAAAACATCTCAATCAAGGTTCCTTATTTCACTCAAGACCTAAAATCATCAAATTTCACCGGAAGTCCTGAGCTCATCGATCAACGGATTGTCGGCTTCGAGAGGGCTTGACAATAAATCATGCGATACTATCTTTCCAAGTGGATATCGCTCCTTCCGTAATCAACACTAGGTCGAGAAAGACGGAAGCGAGAGATCCTCGCGGATTCCGAACAACTTTCTCGACAAGTAAGCCGTTTCACGCGCGTTCGCGAGTTGTTCGCTCGGTCATTGATCACCATCGGGAGCGTCAACTTTCGTGTCTCGTTATCGTCGTATCGTAATGAGGAAGCGTGTGGGAATTTCGACGATATCGAGAGCGATGACACTTGACTCGGAAATCAAATAATCTTAACTACCCAAAGTCGAAGACTTTCCCCAAACTTGGGGTACTTTTCGTTCGGAGACACCAGCATCATCCTTATCTAGGGTTGCACGAGATACCAAGATCAGTCTTGATATTGTCTTGTCTTGTCTTGAATTTCAAGACAAGATCAAGGCAAGATTTTTAATTAGTTGACAAGACAACATCAAGACTAAGACTGTCAAGATTATTAGTCTTGTCAAGATTATTGGTTCTCAAAAAAAAATAAAATATTTGTATTTGTAAATGAAAAAAAATCATTATATACGAATTTAAAAAAATGTTATTCAATAAAAACATTTATATTAATAAATTTAAAAACATGTAATATTAATGCAATATAACATTTTTATAAATTAGAAATCAAACTCGCAAATTTTAGACATTAAAGAGCATTTCATCCAGGAATTGATGCACATTACTGCTTTTAAAGATTTACTTTGTCTGGTTCCATTTTTTGACAGAGTTCCTATTGAAAAAAGTCTTTCTACTGGCACGGATGAGGCAGTTGAACTTAAAATGTCTCGAGCCATTTTAGTGGAATAATAAATATGAACCTGATTTTTTTTATCACTTCAAAATATTTATATCTGCACATTTCCTTGGAGCCTGTAAATAGTTATTAATTTCTGATTTCTATGAAACAGTAAATGTTTTTTTATGTAAATAGACGGCATTTATATCGATTACATAGTAATAATTATAATTAAAATATAATACAATAGTAATAATTATTTCAAATTATATTACAAAAATTATGTTAAATATTATTTAAATAATTTTTTAATATTACATAAAAAATTGTTAATAAAATCGAGACAAGACAATACAAGACGAGATTTTTGCTACCAATATTCACTCAAGACCAAGACGAGATTTAAATTTTTCAAAATTTTCACTATCAATACAATATTTTTACGAATATTGTCTTGGGTCTTGTGCAACCCTATCCTTATCGATCCTCCTGATGTTGGGAAAGACAAAATGACGCTCGTGTCGCTAAATGAAAAGCACCTTGATTGTTTTTCCGAGGTATCCCGATTGTTATTTCTGCGCGGGTACTCGAGATACTGCGTTACTTTGACCCTGCGATAAGTCGGTTACTCGCTAAATGAGGATACGCAAAAGAGGGAAGATGAATGACACGCGCGTTATCGACCAAGATAACGAATAAAGGCGAGGTTTAGCGGAGCGTATTGTGTCTAATCTCTTAATTATCATACGCATCCGCTTGTGTTCGACACAAGCGACGACGATACCTTTTCCACTGGTGCGAATAGGTGTGTGTCATCAGACGTAGACGTATCACGCTGATCGTCTCGCGAGGAGCGTAACCGGAACTTATTTATACGAGGGGGAAGAGGAGGGAAGAGGGCGATTGTTTCCGGCTCTTTGAAAAATTTCATATTCAAGTATCTCTTATGATGATCCTTTCTTCAGGGTGCGAACGTCAGTCAGATTACGCGTCAAGTTTGATGTTTAATTTTAAACGGAAATGTGAATCATCGCGAATATTATTTCAGACGATCCGACGAAATCTCGGGTTCTCCTCGCGATTTGCCGGGGGAAATTGCAGTTCTCTCGACTAAATATAATGTAACGCTCGGTCGCACTTGTGCGTTTGTTACATAAAATGTGAGAAAGAGAGACTGAGAGAGAAATATAATATTGAGATTGGGGAGATTTTTTTCAGATTTTTCAGATCGAGAGAGAGAGAGAGAGAGAGAGAGAGAGAGAGAGAGAGAGAGAGAGAGAGAGAGAGAAAGAGAAAGAGAGAGAGAGATAATGAGAACTGTTCCGTGAAATCGTCATGATGTTTTAAGTCACGTTTGAGCAAAATGACAGCTACGTCGAATACTTGAAATTAAAATTATATTTATATTTATATTAAAAATTATTAAAATTATATTTATATTTATATTAAAATTGTATTTATATTAAAATTATATTAAAATTATATTTATATTATATTTATATTAAAATTATATATTATATTTTTATAAAATTTGTATAAAATTATTTATTAAAATTATTTCACAGATTCTACGATGTTCTACTAACTAATGTTACCAGCTGGATCTTGTCGAAGTCCTCACGATATTTTAGGTCTGAATAATTTTGCTTAAAGATTCTTGTTAAATTTCTTGCTAATCAATGGTTGGATGATCACTTTTTTCGAGCTTTAGCTAAAAACGTTAACCTATCGCTTGTGAACGATCTTCAGCAAAGGTTAAAAAATTGAATGACGAGATTAATATCGACGGCGATATACGAGCAATCGATATACCACTTTCAGAGTCGAGTCAGGGGGATCGAGAGGGGGTAGTAAAACGGCGAAAAGTTGGTTGCAGACGGAAGTAACGTATAAATATGCGTGATTTTCCTTGGAACGCGAAGCGAGGAGGGAATTAGAAAGTCTCGTCAAGTATGTACGATTTTTGGAATGTTTCGCGGCCCAACGATTGCATTTGAGCGAACCTTAAGAAGTCGATTTTACGGTGAAACCTTTTCTCTTTCTCGTGACCGACTTTGAATGGCATTGTCCGTCCAAGAGAGAAAGAGAGAGAGAGCTGTTCCGTGAAACAAATCGTCATGATGTTTTAAGTCACGTTTGCGCAAAATGACAGCTACGTCGAATACTTGAAATTAAAATTATATTTATATATTATATTTATATTAAAATTATATTAAAATAATATTTATATTAAAATTATATTAAAATAATATTTATATTAAAATTATATTAAAATAATATTTATATTTATATTAAAATTATATTTATATTTATATTATATTTATATTATATTATATTTATATTAAAATTATATATTATATTTTTATAAAATCTATATAAAATTATTTATAAATTATTTTTAAAATAAAATATTAATATATATAAAATAAATATATATAAATATATATAAATATGTATAAAATATAAATATATAACATATATAAAATAAAATATTAATATATACAAAATATAAAAAATTTATAAAATATTAATATCAAATATTCGACAGTTGCAAATATTTCTTACAAACAGAGCATCGAATAAAATTATCAATATTTAAATATATCGATTGCAGATATGTATATCTTCATGATTGTATCTTGATTTAAAAAAAATAGAGCAATATTAAAAAATTATAAAATTTACAAACAAAAATCAGATTTTACTTTTGAGAGACTCACGTAGCACGAGATATCGCAAACATTAAGCTATATAAGCGATTAAAAGTACGTCTATAGACTATATATAACTATACCGCATCATATACTGTATAAAAGTTCGATGGCTCTCTGAGAAGATAATTGTTTGTCGGCGCAACATTTTCCAAGCGGCGGTCTATCGATATCTAAAATCTTGAGCCGCGAGCAGGCGAGGGCGAGTATCGATCCTGGCAAGTCTCGGTTGCCGTCCCTAGCCCGCGATTATCCGCTCTCTCGAGCTCTGAAAGCGCGAGTAAGAGTCATCGATCCTCGTCCTCGTCGTGCATGCAACGTTTATCGGTTGCATCTCGGCATCGCCAGCTTCGCCCGAGGATCCGTTCAGACGGACTCGCTCGGGGAAACTCGCTGTCGCCTTCGAAGAGGAATTAACGAGCTCTCTCTGGCAGTCTAGGGCGAGAAGAAGCTTCCTCCTCGTCGTCGTCGTCGATGTCGAGGTTGTTGTTGGCAGCAGTGACATCAGTGACCTACTTGCCGTGCCTCGACCCTCCTCTCTCTCTCTCTCTCTCTCTTTCTCTGGCGGCATCGATTCGCATCGAAATTATTCTTCTCGAGCCGATTATTGTTCGCGCCATCCCCTGTCGAAGTTGCTCCCCTCGCGAACGCTCGAATATTTGATAATATTTTATAAATTTTTTATATTTTATATATACTAATATTTTATTTTAAAAAATAATTTATAAATAATTTTATATAGATTTTATATAGAATTTAATAATAATTTTATATAGAATTTTATAAAAAATATAATGTACAGGGTATCCCAAAAGTCCCGATCGAATATTTCATAAACTATGTACTTTAGAAAGAAATGTTTCAGACAAAAGTTGTATGGCTTGAAAGGGGCCATCAGATAGTGACAATGATTTGACATGGGAGAATCATTTGAAAGTCACGTGAAAATTATCGTCAATTTCTTAAATGGAACCCCCTATTTTTTATTACATATTCGTGTAGCTTATCTCGAGAGCTTTCCAAAACACTATAATAAAGTATTTCTTCATTGAGTACTTTTCGAGTTATGAGACTTGAAATCATTTCTTAATTTTACATAAACCGTAAAATATCTTGTTAAATATTTATTTTTCGATTATCTTACTTTAATAATTTTATGTACAAAGTAATGAGAGGAATCAATTGGTGTAAAGAAAACACATAGTTGTTTAAAAAAA